ATTAGAGAGAGAGAGAGAGAGAGAGAGATGGTTAGAGAGAGAGAGAGAGGGAGAGAGAGAGAGAGAGAGAGAGGCGGGGTTAGAGAGAGAGAAAGAGAGGGAGAGATAGAGAGAGGATAAGAGAGAGAGAGGGGGAGAGACAGAGAGAGGGTTAGAGGGAAGGAGAGAGAGGGAGGGAGAGAGAGAGAGAGAGAGAGAGAGAGAGAGAGAGAGAGAGAGAGAGAAAGGGTTAGAGAGAGAGAGAGAGAGAGAAGGTTAGAGAGAAGGAGAGAGGGAGGGAGAGAGAGAAAAGAGAGGGAGAGATAGAGAGAGGGTTAGAGAGAGAGGGGAGAGAAAGAGAGGGAGAGAGGGTTAGAGAGAGGGAGAGAGAGGGAGAGAGATTGAGAGAGAGAGAAGAGAGAGTTAGAGAGAGAGAGAGAGAGAGAGAGAGAGAGAGAGAGAGAGAGAGAGAGAGAGAGGGGGGGTTAGAGAGAGTGAAAGAGACGGTTAGAGAGAGAGAGAGAGGGAGAGACAGAGAGAGGATTAGAGAGAGGGAGAGTTAGAGAGAGGATTAGAGAGAGGGTTAGAGAGAAGGAGAGAGAGAGAGAGATTGAGAGAGAGAGAGGGTTAGAGAGAGAGGGAGTTAGAGAGAGATGGAGAGAGAGAGAGGGTTAGAGAGAGGGAGAGAGAGAGGGGGGGGTTAAAGAGAGGGAGAAAGAGAGAAAGGGTTAGAGAGAGAGAGAGAGAGAGAGAGAGAGAGAGAGAGAGAGAGAGAGAGAGCGAGAGAGGGAGAGAGGGTTAGAGAGAGGGAGGGAGACAAGGAGAGAGAGAGGGGGAGAGAGGAAGAGAAAGAAGGAGAGTGACAAGAGAAAGGGAGCAAAAGACAGAGTGAGGGAGAGAGAGAAGACAGAGGGAGAAAGAGAAGCAGGAGAGAGAGAAAAGGAGAAGCGAGAGATGGAGGGAGAGGGAGGGAGAAGGAAGAGCTAGCGCTTCAGGAAAGACAAAACCCAAGAGCAGAAAGACCTGCAAGCTGCAAGAAGAGAAACAAGAGGAGCAGCGGGCGGGGGCCTGGCAGGAGCAACAGGGCTGTACCTGGAACGCCCACAACGAACGGCACGGGGACACCTAGAAGGAGGAGCAGAGCGGGGCAAAGCAGGAGCAGGGAGAGACACAGCAGAAGAGGTAGGGGTAGGCAAAGCAGGAGCAGCAGGCAGGTGCGTGACAGGAGCAGCAAAGAGGGAAACAGTAGGCGGAGGTGTAGAGGGCTTGGGGCGCCTGGCAAGAGAAGAGAAGAAGGGCAAAGGACGAGGCTCCAGGAAAGGCTTAAGAGAAGGAGGAGGAGGAGGAGTGAGGGTCACACGAGGAGGAAGGACAAGCTGAGCAGTAGAAGCAGAGACGGGTTTTGGACGCCTCACAGGAGCAGCTCGGCCGACCGAAGCAGCGGGCGCGGCAGGAGCGGCGGGTGGGCGTGTGGCAGGAGCGGCGGGCGCGGCAAGAGCGGCGGGCGCGGCAAGAGCGGCGGGCGCGGCAAGAGCGGCGGGCGCGGCAAGAGCGGCGGGCGGGCGTGTGGCAAGAGCAGCGGGCGCGGCGGGCGCGGCAAGAGCGGCGGGCGCGGCAAGAGCGCAGCAGGCGCGGCAAGAGCGGCGGGTGGGCGTGTGGCAGGAGCAGCGGGCGCGGCAAGAGCGGCGGGTGGGCGTATGGCAGGAGCAGCGGGTGCGGCGGGCGCGGCAAGAGCGGCGGGCGGGCGTGTGGCAAGAGCAGCGGGCGCGGCAAGAGGGCGGCGGCAAGAGCGGCGGGCGCGGCAAAGAGCGGCGGGCGCGGCGTGTGGCAAGAGCAGCGGGCGCGGCAAGAGCGGCGGGCGCGGCAAGAGCAGCGGGCGCGGCAAGAGCGGCGGGCGGGCGTGTGGCAAGAGCAGCGGGCGCGGCGGGGCGCGGCAAGAGAGCAGCGGGCGCGGCGGGCGCGGGCAAGAGCAGCGGGTGCGGCAAGAGCAGCGGGCGCGGCGGGCGCGGCAAGAGCGGCGGGCGGGCGTGTGGCAGGAGCAGTGCGCGGAGGCCTGGCAGAAGCAGCGGGCGGAGATGCAGCAGGAGAGGCAGGGGTGGGCGTGGCAGGAGCGGCGGGAGGGGGCATGACAGGAGCAGTACGTCGCAGGCAGATGAGTAACGGCACGCGGCGAACCCTAGAAGATGGAGAAGGCAGGGGTGCGGCAGGAGCAGCAGGAGTGGGTGCGACAGGAGTGGGTGCGACAGGAGCGGCGGGCCCCCGTGGGGGCGCGATACGAGCAGCGTATGGTGATGACATGTGTGTGTGTGTCTATGTGTGTGTGTATGTGTGGGTGGGTGTGTTTGTGGGGGTGTGTGTGTGGGTGTGTGTGTGGGGTGTGTATGGGTGTGGGTGTGTGTGGGTGGGTGTGTGTGGGTGTGGGTGTGTGTGGGTGGGTGTGTGGGTGTGGGTGGGTGTGTGGGTGGGTGGGTGGGTGTGGGTGTGTACTATGAGAAGTGAGGTCCTGTGCTGTAGGTCTGGGCTCTGGAGGTGGGGGGCTGGACTTCGACGTCTGGGGGTCTGAGGGTCTGGGGGCCTGGAGGCACAGAGGCCTGGACCAGTACTGGGCCTTGGCTCACACAGACCTGTGGGGAGAAACATTTGTGTCACACACCAGAACAAACAGGAAGCACATACAAGAGCACAGCAAACCCACAGGGACAAACTGTAGACACCAAAATGTTTCTCACTCACTTTTCTTACATTTAAATTGAATTAAATTGGCACAGCCAATGAATATCTCTGCTGTGTAACTGAATATCCAACGTCTGAGTGAAACTAACTTCACCACGGTGCACATACGACTTTACTACAGGAGCTCTGTCAGATACGCTGATGTTACTCACAGGAGGTAAACAGTGAATACAATTTACTCCAAAACACACGGCAAATCCACGTTTACCTTCAATACGGACAGACAGACGTTTAGCTGCCTCTCATCTCCGGCTGTCATGACTACACTACAGGACTAAACCAGAACTAAACCAGGACTAAACCAGGACTAAGTTAGAGCTGAACCCTTACAGAATCCTAAACCAATCCGGTGAATTTGTCACATTTTAAGGTCAATTGTATCTATTGTATTTGTTGAGCGCAGACAAGTTAGCCTAGATGTAGCCTGGGTGTGCTAACATGAGTACCATCTCTGACTGTTGCCTTCTGTTTTTAATTTTGCATTAAAAGGAAAGCATGAATGCACAAGGGCACATTTCTTTGAATAACCTCGTCGTAATCATGATCTAGGTATTGTTAAAAGGGTTATTTGCTACAGTATTGGTTGTTTTTTGTGTAACATCTTAAAATCCCGAAGCGATTAAAATATGAACATGTAAACTCACAAACCTCACGTTCCCCGTCCAAAAAAGTCTTGTAGTCCGAGTGAGAGGGCGGTCAGTACAAGTCTGCTGGAAATAATCCAAAGATCCGGCTCGTGTAGGTAAAAATATTCAGAGAGAGTTTAGGTGTGCAGTTTCTCGTCTGGAGAAAAGTTTGTAAAGATTCCAATGTTCAAAAAACGCACATAGCAACAAAAATAACAACAGCACGCACGTGCGCACTGACGTAAGCACGGAAGCGACTTGGCGTTTTACAGACCATATGTAACAGATTAAAAAAAATTAAAAAAAAAGTGAGTCAATGATTTAAAATATTGTTAAAAACATGATTTATTTATATCATTCTGTTACATTTAAAAGATAATTCATTTGGGACAAAAAGTATAAATGCTAAAAATTGTACAATTACATATTTACAAGTTCGTTCTTTTTTTTGAAATAAAGTCATGGAGTAAGGACGTGAACTGCGTCTCTGTCCTTCATTGTCTACAAAAAGCAACCACGTATCTCTCCCACACACTGTAGGAGTAGAGGGCACAACATTTTGGAGGCACCGCTGGGGGCTGAGGGAGCGTAACACAGAGGAGGGAGTCATCCAGAGACTGAAGGATGAAAATGGAAGTTGCCCTGTTTTCCACCCCAAAACACTGATCTCGTAACATCTATAGCCTACAATACAAGTGCTAAACACACATCCATGTAAAATGTAAGATACCGATTTGGATGACATGTAAATAGACCTGTATAGACCCAGTGTTAGCCCCAATTCGTTTTTTAATGAGAGCTAGCTTAGCGTTAGCCATCTATCACCGCAAACTATGAAATACCAGGAGTGTTTTGGAGACCTACAACCACTCAACTACACGTGAGTAACACCAGAGCCTCGATACAAAACATTGCCACATGTAGAATTGTTTTTTGCATAGTTCATTGACGTAGCGATTAGCACCAAAATTAAGTTATATGCTAACAACCACGTAATAAACATTTTGTAAATCTAATGCTATGCTGGACAATGATACACTAAAAATAAAGAGGGCCACAACAGTTTGACAAGAAACCCCTCGATTTATTTCATCCAGAGCCACACAAATCCTGCATACAGTAACTTTAAAGAATAGCACTGATTGACACATATAAGTAGACTGTGTCCTCAGCATTAAGCACCTCACTCCTGGAATAACTATGGCACTTTGTGTCAGGACCTGATACAACTTTACATTTGTTGTCCTGAGTATATATTTATTGCATATCTTTATACATGATTATGCTATTACCATGACACAATGTGTTTACAAGTGCACACCTCACTGAATGTGTAAATGTAATGTGATGTTATAGCGAATCAAGCTTGTCATTTTGGCTAAAGTCTGCAATTGCTGTAGTTCATTTTATTTATTTCGTGTCTTCAGGTGGAGAACAGATGCTGTTAAGAAACCCCCAAGGTGTGTTTGCTTTCCAAAAACTAGTTTTCAGTTACTGTATGTTATGCCCACTCATGTTATTGATCATATATTTGGTAGGTGACAGCAAGAATGGAAGAAGACCCCAGCCAACCTACATGCACAGTGAACCATCCAGGATTTGGGCCTGTGTGTCTCAGTATATACTCCCTTCAAAATGACATTAACGTGTACAAAGCACAGCACAGTTTGGACCAGAACATCAGCAATGGTACAGTGAGTTGACTTTTTCAAAATGGTACCAAGTTATTGTCAAACAAACACTAAACATTATAATGAAAGTACAATCAAATAAAACAGATGGTTATGCACATTGCATCAATAAATACTTAAGTACAAACACAAATATAAAAATATTTCACAAAAAGTATTGCACACCATGTAACTTCTTTTATACTTCAGTCTCGCTACAAGCACACCCAATAAAAAAAACTTTAAAAAACACAAATAGAGTAACTCTAAGTACTGCACACTGTATACATTTAAATACTGTATATATTTACTTTAGTCTGCAAACACAACTCTACAAAGAAATAACTAAATACACAAACAAATAATTAGAATAAATAAGTTATTGTATACTGTAACTATAACTTCTTTTTCACTTCTGCACACGTAAGAAACAAGTGCAAAAACACAAACATAAATAGATAGAATAAACAAATAATTATTGCAGGCTGTCTAATCACTTCTATATGTGCTTCAGTTGTTCCTCTTGAACTTGAGAACAACATCCATATTCCCTTGTGTTCTCCAGTTGTGCACAGAATCTGTTGGCACACACTGCTGTCTGGATCCAAAAAACTACACCCTTTCAAACCGATCAGTACCTGGTAGAAAAATAATGTTATCATTTATATTTAAATTTTTTTTTCAAATATTTTCTCTCATTATAACATCAAATATTTGAGTAACTTATGTAATTCACAGTTCTGTTTTTACAGTATTTAACCCTTAAGAATAGAGACAGTTTCTGAATAGTTAAAGATATAATCAAAATAACAAGTGAGTATCTGGTGTTTTTTTCTTTCAACAAAAAGGTTCAGATAAATACATAAACACACTACATTCTGGTGTTGTGTCTTTGGGCAGGACACTTAAAGCTCTTGTATTACACAAAATTGACTCTTGGAACTCTTAAAGAGCTAAGAAAAGTTAAATATTGGTGCACACAATGCACCTTTAATATTTGAATTTTTTTGAAAAGTCAATGGGAAAATAGTATGGGAAATTGTACTTCCAAAGCCAGAGTGATCACTGACTCCACTGTTTTAGAAAGACATTACAGTGTAATGCTGTTATCAGTGGACTCTCAGTTTCCTGTTTCAGTTGAGTCTCTCTCTTCTCCTCTTTCTCTCAGAGCCAGTCCTGACCCAGACTCTGACCCATGATGCACCTCTCCTCCGTCTCTCCGCTCGTCTCTCTTCTACATCTCACGTTTTTGTTTTTTGCTCCCGTTGCCGTGGAGACAACAGTGAGGGGTTGCGTTGATGGCAGGGACAAAGATCACCGACCACTGATTAACTGCACCTCAGCAGGTTACAGAGACGTGCCATCGGGAATCGAACCGACAACCAAGGTCAGAAAACGCACTACTACTATAAAAGGGCTCATATTACACTATTTTCTGATCTATGTTCAAATGTTGTTTCGTCCCCCAAACAAACCTGGACCTATGTTTTATTTCATTCACAAATGTTTAACACACAACCCCTGCAGATTTAGTTCTTCTCTCTTCCACCTTGTGATGTCATATGGTAATACAGGCTTCACTGTGTTTTTAAACTCCATACATTTTCACTAGAATCATTTGGACCATTTCAGTCCTGGAATTTAAATTTTTTTCTAAACAAAATATAAAAGATAGCTGCTAACTTTTGAGGGTTGTTGAGGTAGCAACATTCTAACATGGCTTAAAGCTCACAAGAGTCAATTTTGTGCAATCTAAGACCTTTAAAGGTGCATTGAGTGTTTTTTTGGGGTTTTTTTTTTTGCTGGAGGGCTTTTAGGTGGAACTACCCATTTGTCTCCATGGAGATGCTATTCCTTTGCCTGGACTGAAATGCCAACTATATTGCCAAGATTAATTACCGTATTTTCCGCACTATAAGGCGCGTTCTTAGACCTCCAACCCCATCAAAAAACGACTGTGCACCCCACAATCCAGAGCGCCCTATACATGAATCCACTCGGGTGTCCCAGCACGACTTCAGTAAAGCACGCAAACACGCACGGAGCAGACAGCGACTGAGGAACGGAACGGAGGAACGAACCGAAAAAGCGAGTGCAATGTGCCACTTCTAGACACAACTGAACAATTGAGTCACTGCAAACACGCCGACAATCCAGCGGTCCCAGACAGCACCCTCCCTACACGCCACAACTGAACAAAGCCCAGAGTCACCGTGAACGAACAAACAAAGTCCCACTGACCCATCTAACTGTTGTGTTTCGTTTAAAGTCCGGTGTGGTTTATTTGTGAAAAAAGTTTGAAAATAGACCATTCTATAACCCAGAGTGCCCAAAATGCAGAAAATACTGTATTTTATTTCAGTTATTTTCAATTGCAAGCAAAATATCTTAAAAACAGCCATTCTCATTGTGATTGGAGTTGCCTCTCCACAGATCTGACCTGCAACTTGGGCTAATGGCACCACTAGCTTGTCTCCATTAAGAAAAATATAAAAAGTTTAATGACATTACTGTGGAACATTCCAGGCAAAACAAAAACATGTCTACCAGAAAAGTTACAGAAAATACCTTGAAATATTAAATATTTATGTGTAATATTGAATACACATATTTTATCTGTGAAGAGTGGAGCATTTCCTGTTGCCTTGTATGGGCAGATTGATTTGACAGCTCTTGGCCACTTCCTGTTGATAAAAGTCCAGCGAAGTGTCTAATGCTTCCTGTGTCATTTTTCTGTTTTCTGTCAGGTTTTGTTGTTTCCTCAAAACCAGTTCTCACACCCGTCCTGGACCTCTTTCACTGTTTTCACCGAGATCCACGAGATCGACCTCAGCAGAAACCAGGTCTACTTATATTATGCATATTATTATTTTCTCTTATAGTTAACTCATGTTTAGAGATAATAATATTTGATAATAAAACCATGCATGAGCACTGATTCATAATTGTGTAGGTGCTGGGTTTTAGGGATCAGAGAGAGGCTTTTTTAGCTTTAAAACCAATGAAATTTCCCATTGAAACTGGCAACCCATTCTGTTTTCTGATTGGATAATAATCTTGAACCAAAACACCAAATTATAAATTTTTTATTGCACTTATCACGTATGAAAAACCCATAAAAGTGTGGTAGTAAGATACTGGAGTAGACTGACAGAAGCATGGCTGACAATCTGCACCATCTGCCCGACCAACCACCGCCAATCTCTCAAGATACTATAGTGTGCATACTAAGATTTGGCAGAGTTTCTTGAACAAGTTGTTTGAATTGCTGAATTGAGATCTCTCTTCTAAACCTGTCTCCTGCATATCCAGATTCCTTCCCTCACCCACAGTGATGCTCCGATCCTGCCCAGCCTCGCAGTGCTTCGTCTGGGCTTCAATCAGCTCCGAGCGCTTCCTGATCACTGCTTCTCTAGAAGTCCAGCTTTGACCGAGCTGTACCTCCAAAACAACCTGATCTTTCTCTGGACTCAGTAAACTCGAGGTGCCTGATACAGTTTAGCAAACTTATTCTGTAAAATCAACTTATCAGAACTTCTAACCATGTTATAGTTTTTTAACCATTTACTAACCTTCTAAAGTTGTATCTGGAGTGATTCATGCATGTCTCAGTCATCTTTAATCGCTTATTTTCGAGATGCTATTTTGCCAAACAACCTCTGTTTTAACCTTCATGGTACACGCCCACTGCTCTCTTCTTCCTTCTCCAATTTTATTTTCTTAATCAGTGATACAAGTTTCGGTCCAAATATAAAAAGTGCTCTTCTCCAGTGTGACGTGTCTACAGGAGGGGCCCACAGCATTTGGCGCGTTGTTGTCATGACATTTACAGCAATGTCAGCTCCCATTGAACAGCACCGTTTTCAGCAGACTTGTTTAGATGAATATAGTGATTTAAAATGGGGTCAGTCCATATGAAATCAGCCGCCCTCCCCTATGAGCCATCTCAGATTTGGCTGAAAACCTTTCAAAAAATTTCCAAAATTACCAAATGAAAGAATCTCACATTTTAGCTCATTCCTTTGAGTCATTCCTGAGTTATGGCCCGTTGAAATTTTGGGGCCATGCTCACTTTTTTATTTAGAGCTTGTAAAAAAAAAAAAATAATAATTTTTACATTCTTTATGTTTTGTGAAACCCACTCAAACATCTGCAGTGTGGTCAATATTTGATTGCTGTTGTCTGAAGACTTGTCCCTTGCAGCCGAGCCATTTACTGTGCCACCAAAACCATCACAAACAATGTAGCCACAAATAATCTCCAATTGTCTTCCCTTATAACAAGCAAATAGTGTTTAAGTCTATTAAAGATAATTTAAGTTTTCTAGCAGGTGGAAAAGTCCCTAAGCTCCACCAAAAACGACCTGTGAGAGCTCATTTTCAAAAATTCCGTTTGAAATGAAGGAAGTTAATAGTAGATGTTTTTATTACTTTAAACTAATCAGAATATGCCAAAGTTTCTCTGGTAAAAATTTGCCCACATGGGAAACCAAGGGTCCACAGAAGGGGCCAAAAAGATCACATTTGATCTGTGACCAGATTTGGGACTCTACACCATCCACATGAAAGCTCAGAAAAGTGTGAGATTGTTGTCAGAAATGGTCATTCTCTCAAATATTCAGGTTCAACAGTTCATTTGTAAGTATCTGATTGGAGTAAAATAGATCTTGGTCCTCAAAAAAAAATTGAACAGCAACCAAATTTTTGGGGGCCCACAGTGCCCCCCTTAATAAAGATACCCAAGATTTGACAACAGATTGAGAATCTATGACTACTATAATCTATGAATCTACAATAATACACATTTTACCATCCAAGCTCTATTTTTTATAAAGTTATGGTCAAACATACTTAATAAGTTAAGGCATCTGAAAAAGTGAGCATGGCCCCAAAATTTCAATGGGCCATAACTCAGGAATGACTCAAGGGATCCATCCATCCATCTATTTCCGTCCGCTTATCCGGGGCCGGGTCGCGGGGACAGCAGCCTAAGCAGGGACTCCCAGACTTCCCTCACCCCAGACACGTCCTCCAGCTCCTCCGGGGGGACCCCGAGGCGTTCCCAGACCAGCCGGGAGACATAGTCCCTCCAGCGTGTCCTGGGTCTTCCCCAGGGCGTCCTCCTGACATGCCCGGAACACCTCCCGAGGGAGGCGCCCAGGAGGCATCCGGAACAGATGCCCGAGCCACCTCAACTGGCTCCTCTCGACGTGGAGGAGCAGTGGCTCTACTCCGAGCTCCTCCCGTGTGACTGAGCTCCTCACCCTATCTCTAAGGGAGCGCCCAGCCACCCTGCGGAGGAAACTCATTTCAAGCGCTTGTATCCGCGATCTCGTCCTTTCGGTCATTACCCAGAGCTCATGACCATAGGTGAGAGTAGGAACGAAGACTGACCGGTAAATCTTCACCACAACGGTCCGATACAGCGACCGCATCACTGCCAAAGCTGCACCAATCCGCCTGTCAATCTCACATTCTGTCCTCCCCTCACTCAAGGGATTGACCTAAAATTTGAGATTCTTTCATTTGGTGATTTTAAAAAAAATCAGCCAAATCTGTAATGGCTCATAGGGGAGGGCAGCTGATTTCATATGGACTGACCCAATGTCTAAATTATAACATAAAGATTCATGGGCAAATCTTACAGCTAACAGTAAGGAAGGTTTGAATAGGGCCTTAAAGAGATCGCTAAATGACTCAAACGTGCATGGATGACATCTAAAACCTCTTCAGGCATGTTTTGGATGAGAAAACAAGGTTATAACATGGTAGAAAAATAAACAATTTAATAATACTCTCTCTTTACAATATGGCAGTAAAATATTAAAGTATGTCACTTTTTAATTTTAGCTGACTAAATTAACTCTGACTTTGTTTAGATCTTGGATTTGTCGAATAACCACGTCCAAACTCTCCCTCCGCGCATGATGCACCCTCTGAAGGCCATAGAGACGCTGTATTTGGAAGGAAACAAGGCAAGCACAAAAACAGCTCTTTTATATTGGAGGATTGTAGTTTTGCAGTTTTTATCATTCTTTAATTTTGACTTAAAGGTGCACTGTGTAATTTTTCGGTTGGGGGTCCATTGCCTTCTTGTTTCTATGAATATGTCATTTCTCTGCCTAGAATGTTCCACAGTATGACATTAAACAGATCTTGCTAACATGTATTCAATTACAGGTGGTTTTATAGCTCAAAAATACCAATAAAAACAGACATTGTGACTGTGAGTGGGGTCGCCTCTCCACAGATCTGACCTGTAAATTGATCTGGTTTGATCTAGAAAAAACCTTTCTATCTTCATGGAGACCAAACCAGATCAAGTTATATAGTAATGTCAGTGGCGGAGCGTCAGGGCCTGCAAGTCCTTCTCTGCTGGCCAAAAAAAAATATCTGAATCACAGACTGATGTTAATTATTATTAAATAATTCCAAATGTTCTGTTTGCTTCCTTTCAGAGCATTTCTGCTGCTTGTGCTGCTTCCCCACATGCATTTTCATATTAAAGCATTTGACCAATCACATTTCAGCTGTCACTTGTTGCTAGGCAGAGTCAAAGTCAAAGAAGTGTCCCTGAGGCCTTCACAGTGCGTTCTGCAGGCCCTCCAACACAAATTAAATGTCCATGAAACTGTTGCTTCAACCAATCAGATTTTGATTTGGTATCGCCAGGGCCTTTAGCAGGTGTACGACGTCACCGAATTCAGAGCCGCTGATTGGACAGTCAGAGAGCAAACCAGCCAAAGTAGCAAAATGCATCTGCAGCGGAACCAGGACTAAACCAGGTCTAAACCAGGACTACACCAGGACTAAACCAGGACTACACCAGGTCTAAACCAAGTCTAAACCAGGACTACACCAGGGCTAATCTTGGACTTGAGAGAGAGAGAGCGCGAGAGCATGTCTGCAAAGCACGATCGGGCGACAGCTGCACTTAGCCCCATGTGGCGCGCAGCACTGAGCGGAGTCCTGTCTGCGGTCACCCGACTACGCGGGCGCACCTTCGGGCCAGTCCCGGCAAACAGTTCTGGTTTAGTTCTGGTTTAGTCCTGGTTTAGCACCCCAGCGCTCTTCACTTCTTCTCTGTGCACCGCGCACCCCGCCTCTCCTCACTTCTCCGTGCACGGAATCTCCACAGCTCTGTATACTGTGTTTCTGTTCAATAAGATGCTTTTATAACCATAAAATAGTTATTGAGGAGTGGAGTGTTTCAGACCGGGCACTAGTGAAGGCCTAGGTGTGAAATGCATGCTCAGCCACTGAGTAATGCCATACTGTGACACATTCTAGACAAAGCAATAACATCTCCATGAAGAAAAGCATTTGATGAACCCTCCACTAGAAAAGTTACACAATGCACCTTTAATTTAGTGGGATAATACCTGTTATAAATATACATTTCGCCAAACAAGACTCTTTTATGTATTTTTATATATGTATGTCAGATCAAGGTGCTGCCTGATAACTGGTTCAGCCAGAAGAACGAGGTGCCCTATCTGTACCTCTCGGCCAATCCGTGGGCTTGCTCCTGTTCCCTTGGTTACCTGCGCATGTATCTGGAGGAGTACGATTACAACGTTTATGTGAAAGATGGACCCATCATCTCGGCGGATGCAGAGAGTGTGGTGAGATCTACAGCTTTTACACATTTTTTTAAAGGCCCCATATTATTTGACTCTTGAGAACTTTTAGATATGTTCTAATGTTGTTTCCTCCTCAAAAACCTAACTGGAGTTGTGTTTTGTTTCATTCACATTCTACATCTCCAAAGCTCAAAATGCTCTGTTTCAACTTGTGATATCATGAAGTGGTAGTTTTCACATCAGCAGCTATTTTTTTTAACCTTTTGTTCAGTAGAGATTGGCAATTCCAGGACTGAAATTATCTAAATGGTTCTAGTGAAGGTGCACGGAGTTTAAAAACACAGTGGAGCACGTCCTGTGTTACTACATGAGGTGGAACAGAGTGTTTTCTGTTTAAGAGAAGAACTCAGTCTAAATATGCAATGTTGAACGTGTGAACAAAACAAAACACAACTCCAGGTCTGTTTGTGATGAGGAAACAACATTATAACATTTTTATAAAATAGCGTAACATTGGGCTGTTTAATATAGTCCAGTGCTCACTACAAATACTGTATTTTTCAGACTATAAGGCACACTTAAAATCCTCTCATTTTCTCAAAAATCAACAGTGCACCCTATGTATTAATTCTGGTTGTGCTTACTGATGAATCGATTTTATGTGGTACACTGTGCTCAAAAATCTCGCAAAATGTTTCAGTATGACTCGCTATGAAGCTACGAAGGCACTCCGCTTGATGGATTGTCTGAGCATTACGGCTACTGTAGTCAGGACCCTCGCAGAGTAAGTCGTGTGCTTTAGTCCAACAAAAGATGACCACATCAATGCACATGAAGCAAGCTATTTTTCAGCACCTATAGTTTATGCAAATGTGTCATGTGGCTTTAAGTTTCATCTCTGTAAAACGTAAAATGTGCATAAAGCTGCATTAAACACATTATTACTCATTGCATATTTGAGTTGTTCTTGTAGGAAATAAAAAACAAACTTAAACGATCCGATCACATTCACATTCATAAGCCACATTCACCAAGACAGGGAGGCAACGCCAGGCGAATTACGCCACGATCTTCCAATAGATCGTGGACGCCTGGGCTAAGGGATCAGTCTCAAGTGTTATACCCCTTATAATCCGGTGTGGTTTATGTATGAAAATACACAAGAGAATACAACATTATTGATATTGCACCTTATAATCCGGTGCACCTTATAGTCCAAAAAATACAATAAATACGTCCTTACATACATCAATGTTTTTTTTTTTCAGATTTGTGACAGTCCACGGTCTCTAAAAGGTCAGTCTGTGATCAAACTTGAAGAATCGGACTTTTGTAATCCACTGACTCCCACTGAGCAAAGCCATTTTTTTGATACTACTACCACTCCTCCTAAGCCTACTACTACTACTACTGCTACTGCTGCTACTACTGCTGCAGTTCCCACTACTCCAGTTTGGACTCATGGTTATTACAAAATTGTCACAATATACGAATCTTACACAGTAGACTGGTCTGATATTTGGGGATCACTGCGAGGGGATGGACGAAGAGTCAAAAGAACGACTGTGCCGCTAACAACTGAACTCCCTACCACAACTTCGACAGCTCTCCCCACTACTACACCACAAACTTCTCCAGTATTGACAACTTCTACAGCTCTCCCCACTACTATGCCACAAACTTCTCCAGTATTGACAACTTCTACAGCTCTCCCCACTACTATGCCACAAACTTCTCCAATATTGACAACTTCTACAGCTCTCCTCACTATTATGCCACAAACTTCTCCAATATCGACAACTTTTTCCACAACAATCCCACCTGAAATACAACAGACAACCTTTGTTACCCCCGAAACTTTTACAATGTCACCTCCAGGAGTTTATGAAGGTCGTATAATTAGCAACAACATAAGTAGCGACAGTGCGAGCCCTCTTGAAGCTAGGACCGTTTTTTGCTTTTGGCTCTTTGTAAGTTGCGCGTTTCTCTGTGTAGTTTCCGCTTTTTCGTCATTAGTAACTGCATTTAGGTTGTATTTTTGGTACAGAGGGGTTTATAAGTCATTAAAATGTATCATAGCTGGCAAGGAGCAAGTTAAAATGTTGAGTTATTGTAGAGATATTGACAAGAAACAGGCAAAATATCAAACTATGCTTTTTGTATCTAAGGATGTGAATCAAGTTGAGTGTTTTGTTAATTTAGGACCAAAAACCTGGACAGAAGAAGCACAAAATGTTGAAAAAATAATAATGTACAAGGAGGCAGTGTATCACGAAATTAGCAAAGAAGAAGAAATTGAAGCTAAACACGTGCTAGCAGAATGCACAGTTAGCCGAGAAGCTAACTCAGGCATGTCTAAAAAGCGTTACAGTGTTATTTTGAGGGAGGAAGGTGAAAAAGAGGGAGGGGAAACGGAGAAATGTGATTGGGTGGTCGGGGGCTGGGAGGTGGAGAAAGGGGCGAGTCCTGGGAGCAGTTGGGGGGAGTGGCTAGTGCAGAATTTGCCGAGCATGCCTTGGAGGGTGAGCGCGCCGCCCAAAAGGGAAGCGGAGTCACTGTAGTGTTGCGTGAATGAAAAAGATGAATGAGGAAGCTCACAACGGTCTACTCAATTTCCTTTAAAGGGCCCATCTCATGCAAAATCAACTTTTCAGTCCTTTCTACCTTCTAAGAGTGATCTGTGGGCCTTGTATATGTCGCCAAAGTGTTTTTTTAGATTGATTTGGCATTTTTTTGCAGCGTATTTCTGCCACCCTCCCACGAGACAATGAACTAAAGCTGCTACAACGATGACGCAGCAGATACACCTATGATGCGTTTGACATAGCAGAAAGTGCTTCACACCTGCCCCCCTCAGTGTATTGTTCTACACTGCAGTGTACGCAATATAATAAGTTGATCTACTAGTGTTTATTAAAACTTTACCAATCAGTAATGTTCAGCTGATGTGGACGTGGTGCTTGAGCTTCGTGCTCCTCAAAGTCCTCGTCTGATTCCGGGTCCAACACATGCGGCTGAACGCGCTGTATCTCCATGATGAATAAAAGTTTATTTCTACCACTATCAGGGTGCACGTCTGTCTCCCCCTCCCTCCCTGAGATGGGCGGAGGAAGGGCGGCTCACTCGTCGCCTACGTCACGTTTGGAGGGCGGAGCCTGTGCTTTCTCAGGACGGGCGGGGGGAGGAGCAATAGTCGGCCTTTCATAGTTCCTGGTCTGTGACTTTCTCCAAGAAACCAGTATTGTGTTTGTATATGTGCAGAAGATACAATGTGAAAAGAGTTATTTTACATGAGATGGGCCCTTCAAGGAGTTTTTAATTGAAAATTTATGGAAGCACATTTCCACCAGTAAATTTTAAAAAACCCTCACAGAAAGTCAGAATTTTTTTTATATTTTTTGTTTTAAAAGTATAAAAGTCATAGTTATGACTTTCTGTGAGGCTTTTATTTTTTATTTACTGACGGAGATGGGCTACCATAAAAATCTGATACTAATCGGCAGTACACAGGATTACAGTCATACCATACTCCATACAGATGTACAACAACTCACCTTTATGTAACAGATAATACTCCCTACAACTGTACAACAACTCACCCTTATGTAACAGATAATACTCCCTACATCCTGTCAATCCTGTCAATCATCATAACATTGTTGTACTGTCTTCCTTTGACCTCTTGTATATAGCTAAGATTGTATATTTGATTACTTATTTTATTTTGACTTGTACATTTACATTTAAATAATTATGTTTTAGTTGACACCTGTCTCTTGCTTTTTTTTGGCTACATATTTAGAATTTATTATTACCATTTATACTTTTTGCTCTTTGTTATTATATTATATTGTGATGTGTGGGCTCCTGTGTTCATGCGTGTGAATGGGTGAGTGGTTCCGTGTTGTAAAACACTTTGGGTGCCCTGAAGATGGAAAAGTGCTGTGTAAAAATGTGACCATTTAGTCGATACAAAAGCTAGTAGTACATGGGAATAGAAAAAGTACTACTACTACTACATTTAATGTTGAAAATGGCATTCAATTGCCTAAAGAAGAGTGTTTTTATTATCATTGTGGTATTGGAATTGGTATTGAGTATCAAGTCTATTCCTTAGTATTATCATGACAACACTAGTTTTTAATAATGTATAAATTTGTTAATTAATTAAACACAACTCTTTGTTTTTTGTTTATTTCACATGTTTAAATCATGAATGCTGTTGCTGTTGTTTTTGCTTTGACTAAAATGTTCCACAGTATGCCATTAAACATATTTACCTAGCACTGCATTTGTATCTTTAGCTCAAAAATCCCTTGAGAAACATGCAATCTTTCTGTGAGTGGGCTCATCTCTCCACAGATCTGACCTGTAAGTTGGCCAAGTTGCTTGTCGCCATGGAAATAAATAAGTTTAGAGCATCCAAATCTGAGTTACTTTATGTTATGATGTGTCTCTGTAATTTTAAGATTCAGAAGTATTATGTTAAAATTGTATCTTTGAATGTGGGGTTGGGACAGATTTCTTATGTTACAGAGTTTCATATAAATAAAATGATTTGATTGAAAGCTTTTTATATTCAGTGTTTTTTTTGTTTTGTTTTGTTTTTTTGTTTTGTTTTTTTTTAATGAAATTAAGAAATTACATCTACTAAACTACTACCAAATGACATCACAAGGTGGATCAGAACATCTTGAGCTTTGGAGATCTAGACAGACTAATAATAAAGGATTACTGAAACATTTAATAACCAATTCACTGCTTGCTTGAGTGATCGCTCATCTTTGACTCTAAAACCTTAAAGAGCACGAGGACAAGTTGGATTAAATTCTGCTCCACATTTCTCCATTGAGGTAAAACAGAAAATATCAAGACACATTGTGAAATTATTATTCTACCCAATACACAAACAAGTAAAACCTTTTTTTTTTAACCAGTTCTATTTTATTTGGTGTCGTACAATGTTGGAAAAATGTAAACATGAGGACTAAGAATTATATTGTGTGTGACAAGCGGCCATCCAGTGTGAATTCGGATCCACTCGTAGAAATGAGCCACCTGGAAACAAGAACAAAAACAGCAGTTTATGTTAATGACTAGAACCAAGAACTCACTATTGATACTTTAACAGACATCATGGAAGCCCATTTCTGCCAAAAAATAAAAACTAAAAGCCTCACAAGAAGATAAAATTATGTGTTTAAAACTCATAATTATACATTTTCAAGTCATAATTAGGAGTTTTTTAAACTGACTCTGAACCTGCCATGTAAGTAGACGGGCTGGTACGACCACTTGACCACTTTTCTGGAGAAGCAATGTATAAACCCAATACAAGGAAAATGTTAGTTATTTTACTAATTCACTTCAGAAAAAAATTTGAACTTTGCACATCAATTACTAGAAATGTGTGCATTGGAGGAGAGGGAGCAGCCCAAGAACACAGAGAAAAATCTCGCACACTCTTATTTGTAAATTGTGAGATTTATCAGGACAAACGGTGCAACGTTTCAGCACTAGGCCTTCGTCAAGCAAACAGAATGAAAGCTCAGGTGGCCATCTTAAATAGGGTGTGGCAAGCACCCAAGGGTGACAGGTCATAAAGAAACAGTGTACCAACCATCCAAATAATTCAAAAACAAAAAAAGACAATCAACATACAGTATCAATACATACAGTATAATGATAATAATAAAATGGAATATATAATATTATAATAGAAAAATAATAAGAAAAATAATAGAATAAATATATAGAATAGATATATCATATAGGATATATATATATATATATATATATATATACATATATAATATGTATCTGTCGTGCATATACATATACACATATATATATATATATATATATATGTATATATATATATATATATATATATATATATATATATATATATATATATATATATATACATATATATATATATATATATATATATAATATATATATATATATATATATATATATATATATATATATATATATATATATATGGATCTTAAAATATAGCTCACCCAAAACGAGAGAGAGACTTCATGATATAACAAATGCCTACAAAAAAAATGCTAAGATTGAAATCATCATCGAGTCCTTTTGGAGCTAAAGTTTGGAGAGTATGAATCCAAAATGCTTCCCATTGTTTAGGTGTCCGGTCAAGGTCCCCTCCTCTGAGCTGATTGGAGGGAGGACATGCTCAATGCCACAGAAACGGAAAGAACTAATATCGTGTCTCTGATCATTAAAGTGTACTGCTATTGGATAGTCCCGGTCTTTCCTTCTGATGGAGATCTTGTGCTCACTTATTCTTTGTTTGAGTTTTCTTGTGGTCTTGCCAATATAAGCTTGGCCGCATGGACATTTCAACATGTAGAGCACATGTGTAGATGCACATGTGATGACACTTTTTATGGCATATTTCTTACCAGTGTGAGGGTGTAAAAAAGTGGTCAGTTTTTACTGTATTATTGCATTGGGCACAGCTGCCGCGGTGGTAGTTGCTGCTAATTCACTTCACATAGCATCAAAATGTCACAGTTTTCAGTTAACAGAGATGGACACTTTGCACATAGTCATTCATATGGGATTTGTGTGGATATCTCTTTCATTTTTGTCTTTTTACATCATTCACTTCATTAACAAGCAAATGAAGCTTTGTGGAGAATGAAGCTGTCCTGAACTCTCCAGAGGATGGCTTCTCCAGGAAAAATACCCATGTGCCTGTATGGCAAGGGCAGATTCAAAGTCAACTTTAAAACTCATAATTATGACTTTTATATGCCCTCCACCGGTATTAAAGCAGAACTGAACATTAAATCTACTTATTATGTTATAAAGTTTATAAAGCTCCATTAGACCCAAAACAAATTAACCTGATGCTTAAAGGTGCACTGCGTCACTTTTCTGATGGAGGATCCACTACCTGCTTGTCTCCATGGATGTTATTGCTTTGCCTGGAATGTTCCTTGGTATGACATTAAACATACACAGCTAACATTTATTATTGCATGTGTTTCTATTGCTCCAAAATACAATCACTCTTTCTGTGAATAGGGGCGATGCTCCACAGATCTGACCTGTAATGTAGCGTAGTGCTGTAACCTGCTTGTCTCCTTCCTGACAGACAGGTTTAATCTATACTGTGGAACATTCTAGACAAAACAATAACACCTCCATGAAGACAAGCAGGTGGTGGAGCCTCCAATAAAAATCTTTAAACAGTCCCAGGCAGAAACTTTTGACAAGCAATTTCCACTGCTCCGTCCTTTTACCAGTGTGTAGACTCCAGGGAAGCCCGGCTCGCCACACTTGTCTCCCCAGCTCACAATGCCCCACAGGTAGGACACGCCCAGCTCATCTTCACACACCAGGGGCCCCCCACTGTCCCCCTGGCACGAGTCCACAGAGCCATTCAAATCCCCTGTGACAACAAACAGTTTAAACATGTCCTATATTACACAAAGCTGACTCTTGTGAGCTTTAAGCCATGTTAGAATGCTGTTACCTCCTCAAACATATACCTGGAGTTGTGTTTTGTTTCATTCACAAATATTTCTTTTACTATTAGTGTGTCTAAAATGATCCATATTAGTCTGGTACATAAAGTATTACCATATGACATCACCATCATAGATATAAGGGCAAAACACAGATCAGAAAATAGCATAATACTGGCCCTTTAAGAGACCATTTTGGGCAAAACTGGGTTCCATCTTCATTCCATCATTCAGTACTGAACTTTTTTGCGCTTGTAACCGTGTTATAATGCTCTATCTAAGGCTACATTCAGACTGAAGGGCTTAATGCTTAATTCAGATTTATTTTTTTTTTTGGGGGGGGGGAGGTCGTTCTCATTTCCAATTAAACATGATTTGTATGTGATCTCCAGGGTGAACTTTAAATGCCCCAGAAGCGAGAGCGAGCATTGCTACAGAAGTAGCCTAAACGTTGGGCAAGTCTCCCAAAATACAGTCCAGTTCTTTGTAAAATGGACAGGTTACACGTCCATGGCCGCTTTGTGTGCCTGAGTGTTTAGGCTCTTTATTTTTTGTTGACATTGGAGCCAGGCCGCCTGTAGTTGTGCTTGGCCATTTCTTTGGCAATCATTTAAAAAACTGCCCAGTTCCAATAAGGCCCCTCCAGACTTGGCCTGAATACAGCAGAATACAGAATACAGTCGCATGTCAGAAGATCAGATATGTGTCGGTTTCAGGAGCACATATCCAAGTAGTCTGGGTCACATTTGAAAAAATCTGATCTGTGTCGTTCAGACTGTCATTAAAAGATCAGATACAGGTCCTAAGTTTTGTTCTGCTTCTGTTT